AGGGGGAGGGAAGGAAATAGGAAGGAAGAAGAAAGGGAAGAGGGAGGGAGGAAGGAAGGAAGGTAAGGAAGGAAAAAAAGGGGAGACAGAAGGAGGGAGAGAAAGGAAGGAAGGAAGGGAGTCGTTCTGTACTAGCTCAGAAACACTCTCGCCACTCTGGCAGCGTTTACAATGCCGTGGGGGGGTGGGGAGACCTGGGCGGGGGAACAATGGGACATGTAGTCCTTCAGCCCTCAGATCCTCCCCCTTCCCTCCCTCCTTCTCCTCCAACAAATGTGCCAGGATCTACCTGCCCCCCGTCCCCCGTCCCCCCCGCCCCCCTTTCGGGAGACCCTGGGAAAGTTTTCCACACGCCCCGGTGTCAAAAGCCGGCTGTCCTTTGATGCCCGCCCCCAACCACAAGGAGATGTGGGGGGGGGGGCTTCGCACCTCCCTGGAAGCTCACACGAGCCCTTCACACGCCTCGCAGTTCGGCCAACGGCAGATGGACGGGTGCGTGTGGGGGCCGGGGGGTGGGGGGAGAGAGATTGCACGCGCGTGTGAGATGCACGAGAGCCCCGCGGCCGCGATGCAGGACAGCATCTGGGACCCAGATGTGGCACGGCGGGTGGTCTTAGGCGCCTTCTGCGCATGCCCAGCGTCGCGGGTTTTGCATGGAGGAAATCCTTTATCCTGCTTGGTTCTATCTATAAACACTTTTCGGTGTATATGTATATATATATACACCATACATATATATATGTATATATAAATTAACAGAGTGGGAAGGGACCTTGCAGGTCATCTAGTCCAACCCCCCCCCCCCCCCCCCAAACAGGGGACCCTACACCATTTCTGACAGATGGACAGTCCAGTCCCTTCTTGAAAGCCTCCAGGGATAAATAGAATAGAATGGAATGGAATGGAATGGAATGGAATGGAATGGAACGGATCGGAACAGAACAGAATAGAATAGAATGGAATGGAATGGAATGGAATGGAATTCTTTAGTGGCCAAGTGTGATTGGACACACAAGGAATTTGTCTTTGGTGCAAATGCTCTCAGTGTACATAAAAAAGAAAAAAAAGGATGGGAGGATTAATAATAATAATAGTAGTGAAAACTTTGTAAATAGTTGGACAGTGTTGAGGGAAATATTTGTTTAGCAGAGTGATGGCTTTGGGGAAAAAACTGTCCTTGTGTCTCGTTGTTCTGATGTGCAGTGCTCTGTAGCATCGTTTTGAGGGTAGGAGTTGAAACAGTTTATGTCCGGGATGTGAGGGGTCTGTAGATATTTTCACAGCCCTCTTTTTGACTCGTGCAGTATACAGGTCCTCGATTGAAGGCAGGTGGGTAGTAATTGTTTTTTCTGCAGTCCTAATTATCCTCTGAAGTCTGCGTCAGTATCTTATCACTTTAGGATTGATCAGATTCTGACAGGCACTCAAAAAATCTTACAAAATGATCTAATTTCTGGATTAACTTTTCACCCACTGTTAACAGTATTTAATCGAATGTTCTTGGCACTTTATTAAAAAAAACAAACCAACCAATTTTCAATGTTTGATCTGCCAAGGATCCGAATTTCGATCACGCAACCCACGGGGGAGGCTGCAACAGTCATAACTGTGGAACATGTTCGAAGTCCCTTTTTTTCCAGTGCCGTTGTAACTTTGATCGCTAAAGGACCTGTTATAAGTCAAGGACTGCCTGTAGTTGTGTGTCAACCTTAGCAGCTTGAATGAAGATGTGTGGATTTCCACTCCCACAATTCTGGGCAGAATTGAAGTACACACCCTGATTTAGAGCATGTGCAGAGAGCGGGTAGAGAGTCTATTATGCAGTAAAATGGATGGAGAAAAAAAAATCTATTTTAAAGAATTACTATGCTGCAGTTCCCCGTGTTGGCCAACCGCTGCTTTCTTATTCCATCAAAGCGACAATCCAGCTGTTCTTAACAGTGCATTGGTGGTTCAGTGGGAGAATTCTCGCCTGCCACGCGGGAGGCCCGGGTTCGATTCCCGGCCAATGCAACGCATGCTTTTTTTTTTTGCTGTTCTTTTAACGTCGTAGGGTTTGTTTCCATTTTATTCTTATTTTATACTAAATTCTATTCTATTCTAAATTCTATTCTATTCTAAATTCTATTCTATTCTTATTCTATTCTAAATTCTATCCTATCCTATTCTGTGGGTCGATTTGCAGGGAGAGAAGACGGAGCGGCAAATAAAATCCCCTTTTCTGGCAAAATGTATTTCTTCTAGACAAAATGTGCTCGGTTAAACTCTGGCAATATATATGTGTGTGTGTGTGTGTGTGTGTGTGTGTGTGTGTGTGTGTGTGTGTGTGTGTGTATGTATGTATGTATGTATGTATGTATATATATTCTAGATTAAAAACGAACACAAAAATAAGTCAGTTGAACGAACACAAAAATAAGTCAGTTGCATTGGCCGGGAATCGAACCCGGGCCTCCCGCGTGGCAGGCGAGAATTCTACCACTGAACCACCAATGCATCTGTTGAAACCAGCCTCTATGGCTCAGTACTTTGTCTGTTGCTGCAGCCTGTTTATTTGTTTGATTTCTCTAGTTTACTGTACATAGCTGCCCATTTTACAAACATCCGGCTCTTTTTTTCTGTTTTTTGCCCCCTAATCTTGGAAAACGACTTAAGTTTCCTCCTTATTTCAATTTCCAACGACTTTTCTCCCTGCGGTTTCCTTGACTATACTAGAACACCCAAATGCTGTCTTCCCCTCCCAATTCTAGAGAATAGAATAGAATAGAATTAAAGAATAAAATAGAATATAGAATGAATTAGAATTAGAATTAGGAATAGAATATAGAATAGAATATAGAATAGAATAGAATAGAATACAGAATAGAATAGAATATAGAATAGAATAGAATAGAATAGAATAGAATAGGAATATAGAATAGAATAGAATAGAATAGAGAACAGAGAATAGAATATAGAACAGAATAGAATATAGAATAGAATAGAATATAGAATAGAATATAGAATAGAATAGAATTCTTCATAAGCCAAGTGTGATTGGGCACACAAGGAATTTGTCTTTGGTACATAAGCTCTCAGTGTACTTATAAAAAATACACTCCTCAAGAATCATGAGATACAACACAGTGATCGTCATAGGATGCTAAATAAGCAATTGAACTCAAGCTAGGAAACTAAATAAAACAACATAAATCGTAAGGACGCAAGCAACAAGGTTATAGTCACGAGTAGAAAAGGAAGGATGAGAAGAATAGTAACAGAGCCTTGTTAAATAGTTGAACAGTGTTGTTTAGCAGTGATGGCTTTCAGGAGTCAAAAACTCCCCTTGTGTCTAGTTGTTCTAGCGCGCAGGGCTCTTTAGGGTTGTTTTGGGGGAAGGAATTGAAGCAGTTTATGTCCGGGATGTCAGGGGTCTGTAGATGTGTACATGTGAGTGTGTGTGTGTGTTTGTGTTTGTGTGTACTTTATGAGGGGTGTTTTTTTTTTGGCCAATATTTTTAAGTGAATCGTTCCGGTTGGTTAAGTGAATCACGCAGTCATTCAGCAAACGAGGCTTTGACTCTGCCGGTTGGAAGTCAGCTGGGAAGATCCCGAGTGGGGTTCAGCCTTCGAACGGTTGTTAAATGAATGTTTAGGTAGAAGACTACCTGTAGAAAAATAAAAATGCCTGGCTTAGCCAGGCACAAAGACTTCAAGTTAAGCAGGCTAAAAGGAAGAGGAGGAAGAGAGAAAAGAAAGGGTATAGGAACGGGATTCCCATCTCTTTTACAACCCCGTTCTTTGAGGGAGGGAAGGAGGGAGGGAAGTAAAGACAGAAAGAAGGAAAGAATGAAAGAAAGAGAAAGAGAGAGGGGGGGAGGGAGGGAAGGAGGGAAGCAAAGACAGACGGAATGAAAGAATGAAAGAGAAAGAGGGAGAGAAGGAAAGATAGAAAGAAAGAACAAAAGAATGAAAGCGGGAGAGAGAGAGAGGAAAGGGAGGAGGGAAGGAAGGAAGGAACGACGAAAACAAGAAAAGAAAGACAGAAAGAGGAAAAGAAAGAGGGAAGAAAGGAAAGAAAGATAAAAAGAAGAAAAGAATGAAAAAAAAAGAAAGAGAGAGGGGGAGGGAAGGAAGGAAAGACAAAAAGAAGACAAAAAACAAAAAAGAGAGAAAAAGAAAAAAGAGAGAAATAAAGAAAAGAGAGAGGGAGAGAAAGAAAGGAGGGGGCGTGCAAGGTCCGAGCCCCCCCCCCCCGGCCCTTTCACACCGGCGGGAATGTGGGGGGGGGGTCCGGGGGGGGGGGGGGGGGGGGGCAGAGCGAGAGCTTAAAGGGACCGCGTGCGGGGCGGCCGCACTCGGCGCATTCCGGGGACCAGGCGTCGGCGGCGTCGGCGGGGCTGAGGATGCTGGCCAGCGAGAGCTCGCAGCCCGGACGGGTGAGAAAGGTACCGGGCCTTCCAAACCGGGGCTGGGGGGGGCTCAGCTGCGGTCAGCCAAGACCGAGACGGGCAGGGGGCTTCAATCATTAAACCAACCACGATGGGAGGAGGAAAAAAACGGACCGGGAGAGAATCCCTCAGGAACGCGAATACTTGTATTTTGATATTGATTGATTGATATTGATTGATGGATTTCCCGTCCCTTTTTAACTCTCCTACAAAATATATTTGGGGCATATAACTTTTATTTTCCAATCCTCAAGTTTGGGATCGATGATGGTTTAAAGAAAGCCTGTTTTTTTTTTTTTCATCCTGGTTATTTTCTGATTTGGAGGTGGATGGGGGGGTTGTTATTATTTTATTATTATTATTATTTATTTCTTTTATATTGTGTTTTGATCTCCTTGTAAGCACCCCTGGAGACACCCAGGAGTGAACAGGTGGCAATGTAAACTTCTGAATAATAAAATAAAATAAGAAGTAAAATAAAATCAAGTTACATGAAAATCAAATCCTAAAAACCAAAATGAAATGAAAAGTAATGCAATGAAATACAATGAAATCAAATAATAAAATGAAATCAGATGAAATAAATAATAAAATAATAATAAAATAAGAGAAAGAGAAAGAAAGACAGAAAGAAAGGAAGAAAGAAAGAAAGAAAGAAAGAAAGAAAGAAAGAAAGAAAGAAAGAAACTTTTTCCCATCACTTTAATCTAAAATAGTTTTCCCTGCAGACTTCAGCTTCCAGAATTCTGTGCTATGCTGGCTGGGGAATTCTGGGAGTTGAAGTCCACATGTCTTAAAGTTGTCAAAGTTGAGAAACACACCTGGAATATCTTAGTAAAAAGTTAATTTTAGGGGCCAATCAGATATCAAACCCTAATCTAGCCTTTTTTTAAAATTTAATCCCACTCTGGCTGGTGGAAAATTGGGGATTGCCATATGGGAGCTGGGCTGACCCCAACCCTCCAAGTAATATCTCTATACATTGTCCTCTGAAGACACAACACACACACACACACACAGTGTTGTCATAACCCAGCACGATTGTGTGAATCCATTCCTTGTGGGGGACCAGCCAACTGCCCATACCTGCTCGAGGTCCAGAACACACAGGCTTAAATCCAGGTGCCAGGCCAAATAAACCTAATTTTTTTTTTTTTTGGTGCATTTAGAATTAACCAATAGGAATGGTTTGATGGCCTAGAGGTGGAGCTCTCCTCTCCCAATCAGGAAGCTGTAAGTTCAAACCTACCTAGAGGCAGATATTTCTCTCTCTCTCTCTCTTGGGCACCTTGAGAATATATCGCTGAACAAAAAAACCTCCACCCTGGAGACAGGAAGGGCATCGGGCCAGTAAAACATTCAGCTCCGTTCAGTGGCCCAGACTCCACACCACAAGGGATTGTGATGGAAATGGGCATTAGCAACCAGGCAGGCAGGGGGTTCATATAGCCTACCCCACACAGGGGTCAACCCCCCATTTTCTCTCTCTCTGTGTGGCCAGATGCTGAAGCCCTTGGTGGAGAAACGGCGCCGGGACCGTATCAATCAGAATTTGGAGGAATTGCGTGTTCTTCTCCTGCAGAAAACCCAATGCCAGGTCAGCAAGTGACGGCCCCTAAAGCTTGACCCCCCTCAACCCCCCCCCCCCAAAAAGTGTGATATAGGGACATCTCGGTTTGACATCCAGTTTGGTTTAGTGGTGAAGGCCCCAGACTACAAATCAGGAGTTTGGGAGTTCTAGTTCATGCATTAGGCATGGAAGCTGGCTAGGGGACTTTGGGCCGATCGCCAGGAGATGGTGAGTTCTAGTCCTACCCTAAGTGTGAAAGCCAGCTGGATTACTTTGGGCCGATCGCCAGGAGATGGTGAGTTCTAGTCCCATCCTAGGTGTGAAAGCCAGCTGGGTGACTGTGGTTCCATCCCACCTCACAGGGTGGTTGTTGTGAGAAAAAAAAGGAGGAAAGAATATCAGGTATGTTTGCTGCTGTGAGTTATTTTTAAAAAAAAAAACAATAAAAGCAGGATCTAAATACATTACAGAATTAAATCTCCACTAAGATATAAAAGCCCAAATTAGTCTTGCGGTCTTCAAATTTGTTGAGGCAGCCTTAAGAGTTGATTGAACCCCCTCCAACAACCTGGGCAGGGGGTTAGACTAGATGACCTGTAAGGTCCCTTCCAAATCTGATTATCTGTTATCTGTTGGTACATTGAAGGGCATGATCCGTCTATTTCTTTTACCTGCCAGCAGAGGGAGCTCCTGCTCTAAATGACCCAGCTCTTAAAGGGGTATCCCTAAAATGGCGGAATGGTCAGTGGCTCTATTGGTTATTTGCATGGGAAAGGAAGGCTGGCTGGGGAATTCTGGGAGTTGAAGTCCCACCCGTCTTAAAGGGGCCATGACTGGGGTCGGGGGGAAGAATCACACCTACAAACTCTCATTATTTCATCATCTCTTCCACCTCCCTCCGTTGGAAGGAAGCACAGGTGAGCTATCTTCTATTCTGTATCTTCAAGGGGGATGCAGATACACTGCTCCTGGCTGGGGAGGATCCACTTAACAGGAAGCGTCAGGAGTTCCACGTTGCCCTTTCAGCCCTCTCTTCTCGGACCCCTTTCCTTCACAGACCCTGAAGAACCCCAAAGTGGAGAAGGCGGAGATCCTGGAGCTTGCCGTGGAATACCTACAAGAGAGGAACAAGGCAGCAACTCCCCAGGGTAAGTAAAATTCACTTCCATGGCAGGTGGGAGGGAAGGAAAAAGCGGCTGGGAGCTGAATGGTAGCAAGGGAAATTTTCAAAAAAAGGAAGGAACAAATAAATGCATGCGGTGAACTCTTGACAACTAGGGGTCAATACCCTAAATTTCCCTAAATTCTAAAAATGGACACAGAGCTTTTGAAAACAATCGGTCCTCAGTTTTTAGGATCTGTTTCATTGGCCAGGAGGAGTAAACAAGACTCTTGAGCTGTGAAACTTTAACATGGGGTGAACTTCAACTCCCAGAATTCCCCAGCCAGCATGCTTTAACATGGGGTGAACTTCAACTCCCAGAATTCCCCAGCCGGCATGCAACTTTCTTTGTCTCTGCAGTTGTTAAGCAAGTCACACAGACATTAAGTGAATCTGGCTTTCCCAATTGACTTTGCGGTTTTGAAGGTCACAAAAGGGGATCATGTGACCCCGTGAGGCTGCGACCGACGTCATTACAGGTAGTCCTCGACTTACGACCACAACTGAGCCCAAAATTAATGTTGCTGAGAGAGAAATTTTTGTTCAGGTTTTGGCCCATTTTTTTAGTGACTTTTTTGTCACGGTTATTTCCTGAATCCCTGCAGTTGTTAAGTGAGTGACTCGGTTGTTAAGTGAATCCAGCTTTCATCTTTGCTTGTCTGAGGGTTGCAAAAGCGGGTCACGTGACCCCGAGACACTGTGACCGTCATAAATACGAGTCAGTTG